GCTATACGTCACATAACCAAGATGATGCGCAATCAAAATGGTAGCGGGACTTTTGCCCCACCCTGTAATATGACAATTACATCATGATTTACACACAAAAGGATATTTCAATGGATACTTTAATGAGTGTATAATTAAAGAATTGATAATTAAAAGAAAAATATTAAATACCATATTTGCTTATTTAGTACATAAGTTAATCTTGCATACATATATTTTTCATACCTTTGCTTTTGAACTTTGTTTTCGTGGCATGCTGAAACTTCGCTGTTTGTGAAGAGAGAATACTGCGCAAGATATAAACAGTGTTAATATCTAATGGTTAGCGAGTTATATTAACGCTTCTAAATAATCTTTCAACCTAATAAAACCGATACTGCAAGTGGAAGATACTGGAAATGTATTTTCGTCAATTATTTATAATAATGTTAAAAACGCCGGTACAATTTATCTTTGTGATTGAAAGTTTAACTTTCTCAACCGCGTCGACGAGTATAATAAACGTAAAATTGCTACTGCGTCACAGATAACATTACAGTTATTAAAGAGATTTCATTATCTGCCCTTAATCGATAAATACATAGCCTAGTCGTGGCGTCTAACGGTTCAACCGACTCTTCCGAATCTCGACTCAAACTCCACTTACGACCTCAGTGATCGCGTCGATCGCGATCAAAAGGACGATGCTGGCTTTCTAATTTATGATACCTTTTTTTTACAGACCTGAATAATATCCGTACGCGTAACCGGAAAGGACGCAACGACGCTACACAGCCTGTACAACTTTAAATTTAGTGTCATTCGGCACTATGTAGTGTACACACACAGGAGTCCAAACCCAAACCGTCCAACCTTTCCCCCCTTGGAAAACAATTTCAGCGCCACTGTACGTGTTTTGTTGACTACTTTTTTATTCGAAAGATGAAAAAAAAATTATATTGTATATATAGGTAATATCATTTTTTAAATTAATATTCGTATTTCTTTTTGCGTACGTAAGCATTGTTAAAAAAAAATGCGAATATATATAATGCAAAACATTATTTTTTCCTTATCTAATATAATATTTTTCCTATATTTTATTTTATATACATATATATAAACTTCTATATTTTATTTAGATTTTTTAAATTAATTATTTAATAAAATGATTAATTTGCCTGTACGATTTAGATGAGTGTCAAGATGTTGACTCTGCAGATATTATTTTGCTACATCAGTGCTATATGAGAATCTCATATATATTACTATCCTACAATTTCTTATCTAACAGATAAATTCAAATACTGAAAATAGCATTTCTACAGTTGAGCAGATTGAACGATAGAACTACTTACTTTTTTTATAATAGCATATATTTCCACAGAAATTGAGATATT